CAATACCAGCTTTAGGCTCGTCGGGATTCCACTACTAGGAGAAATGTTCACTCTAACCCAACCCTTCTGAGACATACTACTTATACTACTAATATTGTTGCTAATTGTATATAATGATAGTAAAGGTTATCGAAGCAAGCCACTTTGTAGCCTTCATGTCGACCACGTTGGCATTTTGGAATTTTGCAGAATTTCCTCAAATCGACCACCACGCCGTACCTGCCTGTGGCGGTTGTCTCGGCGGGGCAAAAGTGTCCTGAACTCGACGAGGCCTGGGACTGAATCGGTGTCGCTCTGCGCGATCGGCAGGAGCGACCAGTTTCATTCATTTATTCAAGGCCTGCATGAAGCGATCAACTTTGTTCCCGGCTTCAGCCGCTTTTACGAGAAATGGTTTCTTGATCCCACCCTCTTGGATGCCCTTCTTCTATGCTTGCCTTCCGTTTCTCCTTTTGGTAACATTTTTTATTTCTACTTATTTTGACCACTATTTTATTTTTCTGTTGGTATTTTTTATTTCCTCCTCCCCTATTCGGCATGCCCACGTTTGCCTCTTTTCTGTTCCTGGCTTACCAGTGGTCCACCAAAAGGATCCTCTTTCTCAGCATGTGGGTTGCTGCATTCACTCTTTTCGGGAGCACTCCCATCCAGTGCCATCCACAACAATTACTATTATTATTATTATTATTATTATTATTATTATTACCATTATTTTAATGCATATTTAATGTGAATTTTGACTATTGTTTTAAAACTCGAGTACAACATTTTTTCTTTACTGACGCAAGTCGTTATTAAAGTGGGCGCTTGATGTTTCTTCCATTTTATGCCTCAGCCTTCAAGTGGGCAGGGAGTTTAGTGTCTGTTTGATTTAACAAGATTTATGCTCCTGCGCCTCCATCTCGAGAGTCGCCAGATCACCTCGCCCACAAAGAACTCGGGCTTCAGCTCACAGAACCGGTACCACAGACGAGTGTTCTGCAAGAAATTTTGGGGACATCTCGACCTCAATTAGCACCTGGTCCTGCTACACCAGCTCGTTGTGGTACTGGACGAAGATGTATGTATATGCATATATAAACATCAATATTTTTTTATTTACATAGCTATATATTAATGTGTATACACATCCATCTTGGCCTTTATGAGCCAAAGTCTGATGCGGATTCAGCCGAAAGGAGAGAACAAACAAAGAGAACGCCCCACATTTCCCTTTACTTTAATTCGCTTGCCTCAACACATCTTGGAGGACAAATATTGCCAGTACACTTGCACAATTCGCTTTCGCCTTCGGTTTCCGTTTCGGTTTCGCCACCAATACGTAAGACAGAAAGGAGCCCACGAAGCTCGTCCTTAATCCTCACGCCCG